TTATACTATTTGATAAAACTCATGGGCATATAATGGAATCAGACATACACCAGGGGATTGGCCCTGTGTTTCCCTCCGATGGGAGAATATGAGTATATTTTATGTATTTTATACATGGGTAAAATAATAAATGGGATTTTACATCACATTATGAATATCTTGTCCAGATGGAGGCATTCTCTCTCTACCCCAAAGTATATTGCCATTGTGCAAAGGAGAAACATGAATTACCCTATTTGCCTCAACCCTTCATTACCCTACATGGATTGAGACAAATATGTTCTGAAATAGGCCATGTTTTGGAATCTGGAACTTCTGGAATCTTCTCAGAGCCCTAACTTGTGCAAGAAGCCTTCCGAAGTGAAGAAATCTTCCAAGCTAAAGAGGTTTATCATCCCAGCATATAGAAGGGCAGTAGGGACAGGGGTGTGTTGGAGAAGGCATGTAGGACCCCCTAAATTTGGGGGGGTGGGAGGTTATCAGGGCTTTTTATTTTTAAAAAATGATTTCATAAAATGTATCTTTGCTACAATGGAGGGTGGTGAATCTGTGCAATAGGAGTGCTGAGGAAGGACTCACTGAAAGTGGCCTGGCACTTCATGAGCTGCACCTCAGTCACATGTGTAAGATGCTGGGTGGGGAGAGCAGGAAAAAGTACTCAGGGTGCATTCACTTATGGTTACCTGGCAATTAAAGACTTTCCCTGCCCTCTTTCCCCATGTCTGTGACTGGAAAATGTTTTATTAACAAATTGGAAGCATATCCCTGGGACAGGTCCCAAAGGCATGGGAGCTAATGAGATTTACATTAGACAGAAAGTATGTATCTTAAGTATCAAATAGCATTGTTCATTAAATAACTAAAGCAGGAGTCCAAATAACCATTTCTTCATTTGTTTGGTCTGTGTTATTTTGAATGGTGGCCATGATAAAACCATGGCTTAAAAGCTTGGCTATAAGTAATTTGGAACAGATTATCACCCTGCAGTAGCTTGTCCCTGTGCCATCTTTTCAGAGCCAGAAATCAGGAATTTAAACCCCACACTCAATAGTTACTTTGTATTTGATTGAGTACAGCCAGGTAGTATCTGTGTACTGTACAGAATTTCAGAGAAGGACTTCATTTAGGAGTCTTAAAAAGTTAAACATAGAGAAGATAATGCATGAAATAATGCCAAAGAACAACTCACTCAAGAAAATATGCTCAGTAACCTTGAAAACCTTTCTTTTCCGGGCAAGATTTTACTTGACACTAACCTAGTATTTATTTTTAATGTAATGTTCTTTTAAAATGCAAATTTCACCTTCTGAAAGACAATTAAAGTAAGTTTGGTGGGGAAAATTTAATACCCAGAGGCTGCTCCCAAAGCAAAGAAAATTCTCAGCTATCCTCAAGTGAGGAAAAGGTTAAATTTTCCCACGATGCTGGTTTTGATTTAATTATTTTGCCACCCCTGCTGGTTCCTTTGGCATATTAAAATCTCTGCAGGTTAAATGCAAATATCCATTCAATGCAGGGGTCCACAACTTTAGGCCTAGGGCCACTTGCTTTCCCAACCAAAGCCTTGCTGCTGAATAATAATTTTTAATCCAGCAGGAGGAAGAATTTATTAATTACACGGGAAATAATCATTTTGAGTTAATTTCATTTTCTTTTACTTAATTCAAATTTAGTTTTTATTCTGGCCTGCCCCACCCTTGCATGCCATTCAACCCCTTGTGTGCCTGATTTAATTATACTTTTGGCCTTTAATCCCAAAGGAGAATGCTAATAACAATTCACTGCTTAAGGAAAAGTAACCTGTATATTCAGAGACTACCCCCTTCATAATTCATCTATTTTTTCATAAACACTAAATTGAAAACAAGGTTTACAGTTTACATTTTGAGGTAAACAAATGCAGGGGTGGACAACCAGTGGTTCTCAGGCTAGAAAGGACTGTTATATAAACTGATCTCATTTGCTTTCCATGGCCTTAAAAAGAATGGCCAAATACTTTGACTCAGAAAGGTGGGAGAAAGAAGTTTTGAATTTAAATCCTGTAGCACAGAGTTGTATATGGGCGTAGATTCCTGCGTACTGGAATGGAGAGACCTGCATGTATATGGCTTCATTTTTGTCTACAATAAAATAACAAATCTAGCTATTTCTGATGTAAGCAAGTTCCTTGAATAGGGAGTTAAATGTCTGGAGAGTCGAGATTTATTATGTCTGACATGAAACCTGGCAGCAAAATCTGTCTACTCATACTCCCAGGACTATGGGAAGACAGACTGTACCTCAAGACCATGATTAAACAATGGCTGCAGATCCTTTTGCAGCCCTGCTGTTGCTGAAGTGGCCATTGCTTTGCTCCAATATCAGAACCAAGTTACAAAGGGGATGGACCTATTAATTCAGGTAATGAACCAGCTAGTCCAGCTGATGGGACAGAATATACTGAACCAGCTGAACCCCAGTAAGATGGACTGGCTGTAGGTTAATGGCTCCTCTGTATCCGGGACTTTGTCATCTTTGGTGCTGGATGGGGTAGCACTGCCCCAGACAGACCCAGTGTGTAATC